GATAGATAGATAGATAGATAGATAGATAGATAGATAGATAGATAGATGATTGATTGATAGATTATAGAGACAGACGTAGACAGACGACATGAGAGAGATGGGAGAGAGATGAGATAGGTGAAATAGATAGAAATTGATGAATAGAGAGAGAGGTTAAATAGATGACATAGATATTAATGAACAGATAGATAGATAAGAGAGAGAGAGAAAGAAAGAGAGAGAGAGAATGATACAGTAGATAGATTATAGATGGGTGGGTGGGTGGGTAGATAAAAAGGGATGGAGATGGAGATACATACATATATCAAATTTATGGCCCAAAAACCCAATTATAAATGCCTGGCCCTGAGGATTCCAGGCCAAACACACTTAAAAAGAAGGTAAGTAAAATGCTCAGATGTGAGAAAATACACCCACCCACCCACTCCCAAGGAGAGTGTGTCAGCCTTTCCTTTCTCAACCAAACCGATGGTAACGTAGGGTCCGTGTTGGGTGGGATGGACCCTCCTTACCGTCTGTCGATCATCTGGTAGCACTTTTTCAGCCAGCCGATGCCCGGCATTCTCCTCCGTGGAGTGGCGCCGTTCAGATATACAATCATGTAATCTTCAGCCACCAGCAGCTCCAAACTGCTGATCACGTACCTTCCAGGAAAGGGGAGAAGAAGAGAAGAAAGAGAAGTGAGACTGGAAAGGTATACCAAAAACCTGCAAGGTTGGAGTATCTTTTGAGATCAGAATTTCTCCGCCTTAGAAACTTTTAAGACAGGTGGACTTCAACTCCCAGAATCCCCCATGACTGGCTGGGGGATTCTGGGAGTTGAGGTCCACCTGTCTTCAAGCATGCTGGCTGGGGAATTCTGGGAACTGAAGTCCATCAAACATGCTGACTGGGGAACTCTGGGAGTTGAAGTCCATCAAACATGCTGGCTGGGGAATTCTGGGAGTTGAAGTCCATCAAACATGCTGACTGGGGAATTCTGGGAGTTGGTCTATCAAACATGCTGGCTGGGGAATTCTGGGAGTTGAAGTCCATCAAACATGCTGGCTGAGGAATTCTGGGATTGGTCTATCAAACATGCTGGCTGGGGAATTCTGGGAGTTGGTCCATCAAACATGCTGGCTGGGGAATTCTGGGAGTTGAAGTCCATCAAACATGCTGACTGGGGAACTCTGAGAGTTGGTCCATCAAACATGCTGACTGGGGAATTCTGGGAGTTGAAGTCCATCAAACATGCTGACTGGGGAATTCTGGGAGTTGGTCTATCAAACATGCTGGCTGGGGAACTCTGGGAGTTGAAGTCCGGGAAGACAAAGCACCCCTCTTTTAAACACCCCCAAAGGGCCAGGAGTCTGGCAAACCCATCCTTTTTGAGATCGCAACCCCCTCATGCGAAATCTCCCGTGGTAGAGATGACCTAGGCAGCTCCCCCAGTGGGGCCTTAGCAAAATGTCCTCTCCTCCTTTGCAGAAGCCCAGAAGAGCTAACACTTACAGAAAGAGGTTCTCCATGATGTAATGGTAATCAGGCAGGTTGCTGTCCGGCAAGTAACAAGCCGCGAAGACAATGATGGCGTTGAGGCCTTCCCCGTAGTAACCTGAGAGAGACAGAAGCACGGAGGGGATTGACCTGCTGAGCGGACCCTGGGATCCCTTCCCCGCCTGATGGACCTGCTCCCTTCTCCTCCCAAGACTTAGCCGGAGACCCGGTGGTGCTTCTCGGGCTCCTCACCTCCATGCGTTACCACCTTCATGTACGGCTTGATCATCTGCAGATCGATGCGGTGCTCCTGTTCCCCGATGATGACCGTCCTCCAGAGGCGGCCATTGGGGGCACCGCCATCTTCCCCGCCTCCATCTCCAAATAGGTCTGCACTGTCTCCGGGCATGTTTTTGGCTGTGGCCACGGGAGTATCGTCTGAGGAAGAGAACCCAGGAGATGGGATGAGCCGCAAGCATAACCTGACCCAGCATCACAAATTCTTAGGAGTCAGTTGACTGCAAGAATAACAGAATAACAGAGCTGGGAGGGACTTTGGAGGTCATCTAGTCCAGTGGTCGCCAACCAGTGGGCCACGGCCCACTGGTGGGCTGTGAGAAAATTTTTGTGGTCTGCAGAGAAATGTCACCCCCAGAGCTCCCCCCCAAAACAATTAATCCAGGCTGCGCAGAAACACAAGGCTGCGCTGCCCACACGGCCCGTGGGAACCCTCCCCGCCCACTCACTCCTTACTCAGCAAACTTGCCTTCTCAATTTGCTATTTTTCCTTTTTCTGACCATCAGCTGTTCTGCTGTGCTAGGAGATTTAAATTAGCTAGAAAGCAGGAAATTGTTGGAGTTCTTGCTTTCTAGCTAATCTTTAGATCTGGGCTCTGCTTTTAAGCAGAGCCGAACCTTCCTTAGGACTGAAATAGTGCAGACTCAGCTAGCCGATGGCAGAAACACAGATCTCTAAGTAAATTTGGTTCTGTGAGCAACTCAATCTGCCTGCCTGCTTTGCCCGATTTTGGGTAAAAGTTGCTCTTTTTTTATTTATAAAAAATTCAATATTTACATACATGGTGTGTTGTGAGTTAATGTTGTGAGTTAATGTTGTGAGTTTGCTTGCAAGCAAATTTTATGTGACAGACTCAGGTAGCAGATTGCAGAATGGTAGATCTCTGAGTGAATTTGTGATTCTGTGAGCAACTCAATCTGCCTGCCTGCTTTATCTGATTTTGGGTAAAAGTTGCTCTTTTTTTAATTTAAAAAAAATCAATATTTATATAAATATTTATAATATTTACATACAAGCCATGCCCAGCCAGTCACATGACCACCAAGCCACACCCACAAATTATGCCACACCCACATAACCAGTTAGTGGTCCCTGGGATTTAAAAATATGAGTTTGGTGGTCCCTGAGGTCCAAAAGGTTGGTGACCCATTCTAGTCCAGGCCCCTGCTCAGGCACAAGACCCCACACCCATGATGGTGAACCTATGGCATGCGTGCCCAAAGTGGCAGGTGAAGCCATGTCGCCTGGCATGTACGGCCTTGCCTGTTCTCTTCTGGGTTTCTGGCACGCATGTGCACCCGACGGCCAGTTGTCCTTTGCACGCGTAGCAGTGCTGAAAACCGGCACGCATAGCGCAGCGGCCAGCATATTGACAGGTGCGCATGCGTGTCAGAACATGGAAGTTCGGCTTTTCTGGAGCGCGGTGGTGCCTTCGCACACACAGCAGTGCCATTCTCTGGAAAAGCTGAACTTCTGGGTTCTAGCATGCATGTATGCATGTCCGATGATCAGCTGGGCGGCGTGCATGCGCGCTAGAACCCAGAAGTTCGGCTTTTCCAGAGCATGCCCCTGATGAGCACACATGAGTGCGACGTTTCTGCACAACCTTCGCCATCACTGCCCTACAACACTTCAGACAAATAGTTATCCAATCTCTTCTTAAAAATTTCCAGTGTTGGAGTATTCACAACTTCTAGAGGGAAACAGTTCCACTGGTTAATTGTTCTAACAGTCAAGAGGTTTCTCCTTAGTTCTAAGTTGCTTCTCTCCATGGTTAGTTTCCACCCATTGCTTCTTTTCCTGCCTTCTGGTGCTTTGGAGAATAGCTTGACTCCCTCTTCTTTGGGGCAGCCCCTGAGACACTGGAAGACTGCTATCAAGTCACTTACTAGTCCTTCTTTTCATTAGACTAGACATACCGAGTTCCTGCAACTGTTCGTCATATGTTTGAGCCTCCAGTCCCCTAATCCTCTTGGTTGCTCTTCTCTGCCCTCTTTCTAGAGTCTCAGCGTCCTTTTTTACATCGTGGCGACCAAAAGTGGATGCAGAATTCCAAGTGTGGCCTTACCAAGGCATTATAAAGTGGTACTAACACTTCACGTGATCTCGATTGTCTCCCTCTGTTGATTCAACCTAGGATTGCATTGGCTTTTTTGGCTGCTGTCGCACACGGCTGGCTCCTATTTAAATGGTTGTCCACTAGGACTCCGAGATCCCTCTCCCAGTTACTACTACTGAGCCAGGAACCACCTGTTCTATACCTGTTCATTTGATTTTTCTTGCCTGTGCCTACTGCCTCACTAACAGAAACCAGTATCGATCCTTCTCGTCACCTTCATGCTATCTCTCTGTTGATGCAGCCTATTAGGGCATAAGACAGTGCTGTGGGAACTAGTTGTTCTCACACTGGCTTCTTTATTGTGGAATAAGTTTTAAAATTATCAAACCTAATAAAATTAAACCACATTCCGATTTTTTTAAAATTGGTTCAATGCCTACCCTTCTTCCAAGACATCCCAACTAGGAAAAATGGCACGCCAAAACAACTAGACACAAAGGTGCCATCACTCCGCTAAACAACGAATTCCCACAACGCTGTCATGCCCTGGGATGTCAAATCCTCTAATGGGGCTGTATTAATATTATCTTTGTCATCTTTTCTACTAACTATTCCTTTAGCATCTTATGACTATCACTTTGTTCTGGACACTTTCTACAGAGGCCCGATTGAGAAGCATTTTAACAAACTGCATCCCTGTTTGGTTCAGTGGCCGCAGCACCTCAGATAGAAAGTCCCTACAGAGAGTGGTGAGGACAGCAGAGATGATTATAGGAAGCTCGATTCCCATTATCCAGGATGCTGCTTAACAAGCACTCTGTGCTTAGAGCTCAAAGCATTGTTAGAGACCCCACACACCCACTTCATGGTCTGTTTCAGTTGCTCCCCTCTGGGAAGGGGTTTCAAAGTATTTCTAGCAGGACTACCAGGTTCTGTAACGGCTTTGTTCCCCTATGCCAGGGGTGGGCAAATTACGGCCCGCAGGCCACATCCGGCCCGTTGGTCTATCCAATCCGGCCCGCCTCTGAAAACAAAATCGCTGGCCTGTGCCATCTATCTGGTAAAACTCACAAGATTCATTTTTCTCACCACATCCGAACTAGATTATGTTGTTTCTCTGTGTCATAGAATATATGTGGGTATATGCATAATTTTGAATTTTTTTATTTATTTTGTCGTGTTCATATAGCATCTATTGGAGGGGGTGACTCCTTGAGAGCTGCATGCAACGAAACTTCGCTTCACCAAGTGACCACAAAGTTATTCTAAGTCCTAAGTTTGTGGTTTGTTATCTTATGATTTATGATGATTGTATGTTACAATTACGATCGTGACTTATCGCTTGTGGCTTGCAAGAGCCTTGGTGGCGCAGGAGTTAAGAATGCAGTACTGCAAACTACTTCTGCTGACAGCCAGCTGCCTGCAATTTGACAGATCGAATCCCACCAGGCTTCAGGTTGATTCAACCTTCCGTCCTTTTTTCTGGAGTCAGCAAAATGGGGACCCAGATTGTTGGGGACAAGAGGCTGACTCTATAAACTGCTTAGAGGGGGCTGTAAAGCACTATAAAGCAGTATATAAGTCTCTGTCATGCCCCTGTCAGAGTCTAAATCTAAGGAGGAAGCCGAACAGCTGACAGGGAGCAGGAGTGTGACTCCGTTGACTTTGGAGGAAACTGAGGAAGGGCAAAGTCCGGCTGGGCAGAGCAGGGAAGAGGTAGAACAAGGGAGAGGGAATTCAGAGGAAGACCCAGGCCCACCTCCTCTTCATCCTAGGGCATGCAGGGAGGAATGGAGAAGGGAGCAACGTGGGTTGCATGGCTTACGGGGGAGGAATGGGCCCTGATTCCCTTCATTAGCGACAGGTGGGAAGAGAGTTTAAAAGAAAGGCAGGCTGTGTGCAGCAGCAGCTGGGAGCAAACGTGCAAACATGAGTTTATCTTGTGTTGACTTCGATTATCTGTGTTCCCGGTGTCTTCCCAACTGTATTGAGTTACTGCCATGTCTGGAATTCCTTCTCCTGCCCTGCTGGATGAATTACCTCATTTTGCCTTGATTGGGCTGTAAGTTCCAGTTTTTGTTGACCATGTTTTGGACTTGATTCTCTGCAGCCCAAAGGCTGTTCCTGGGAGAGTTTTTTTCCAGCCCAGAAGGTAACCAGGACATTGGGGGGCAAAGTTGGAGCTAATAAAGGGACTCCTACTGATTATCTGACGGTGTTGCCTTTGTGCCACGCCCCTTTGGGTCATCACAGTCCCAGCGCTATTGCTATTGTTCTATACACCGAGAGCTTCTGCACCGGAGACAAACGCCTTGTGTGTCCAATCACACCCGACCAATATTGAATATTCTAATTATTCCACAAACTTATCGCCAGTTTTAACCTCAGCCGCTCCTGATAGGAAACCCGGCGGGAATAGATCACCCGTCAATTCTTACCTTCCCATTCCAGCTCGTTGCCGTTTCCCAGGAATTCCAGGGAATCCGTCTCATCCGGTGTTTCAATGTCATCGACGTTTATATCCAGGTCATCCGGCGTGTCCAGGAAATCGTCGGAAAGAAGGGAGCCTTCGCTCTGGTCCAAAGAAATGTTGATTTCCGGGGCCACCAGAGTCTTCCTCTTGTGAAGGGCCCCGTTACTAAAATGCAAGGAGCCCGGCGGAGCTGTGGGGTTTTAAGGACCAAAAAATTAAGTGAAAAGTCGGGCAGCCCAAAAGAAATGTGTGTGAGGGAAAGGTTATTTATTGCATTTTAATTTTGCAAAACGTTTAACGGACAAGTTTTATTTCACTTCAGAATAGAGCTGGAAGGGACCTTCGAGGTCATCTAGCCCTACCCCCCCCCCCAGCTCAAGCAAGAGACCCTATACTATTTCAGACAAATGGTGGCCTAATCTCTTCTTAAAAAACCTCCAGCAATGGAACACCCACAAATTCTGGAGGCACGCCGTTCTACTCGTTAATTAGTCAAAAGTGGTTTAAAAGTGGCACATAAATGCAGTTTGACAGATTTTAAAAGCCTGCAGAGTTTGATCAACAGTTAATTAATTTAAAAGCTAGGATCAGTTTTAAACAGAGGAGGGAGGACTGTGGGGTCTTTGGTGTTCTCAGAGCCATTAGGTAGCCTCATCAGTGCTAGAAGGGAGTGGAGTTTGTGGAGAGGAGGAAGAGGAGGAGGAAGAAGAAGAAAGGAGGAGGAGAAGGAGGAGGAGGAAGAAGAAGAAGAGGAAGAGGAGGAGGAGGAAGAAGAAGAAGAAGAAGAAGAAGAAGAGGAGGAGGAGGAGGAGGAGGAGGAGGAGGAGGAGGAGGAGGAGGAGGAGGAGGAGGAGGAGGAGGAGGAGACGACAATACGATCCTTGGTGCTCTGTGAGCTTGCTTGTTTTCTTGCAGATGTTTCATTACCCAACTAAGTAACATCTTCAGTGCTAGAAGGGCGGAGGTTTGCTCTCCTTTTATATTCTAGTGGTTTACCCTGTTGGGGTAAGTAGTCTGGCCGGTTCTTTGATTGAGCTGTTGCTCCCTGTTAGCTTCTTTCATGGTTCCCTGATTGTGGTATTGTTTGCTTCTTGATCGTCAGTCTAACATTAAACAACCAAGTTTCCTGGCACACTGAATCCCAAAGTGCCCCAAAACACTCATATCTTAAATTATTTCCAGGTAAATCTCAGATTGCCTGCTCAGGAAACTACAACTGGATGAAAAACCGCTGGTGACCTTCTAATGCTGCACCATAGAGAGTATCTTAACTTCCTGCACCTCTGTCTGGTGCACAGGGGCAGATAGGACGGCACTCCAGAGGTAAATGTCATTGCCCAGAGGATCAAGGGTTGCCCTCTCCCCTCTTTGGAAGAGCTTTGTAGCTCCCGCTGCCTTAAGAAAGCTCAAAACATCCTCAAAGATCCATCTCATCCTGGGCACCCTTGTTTTGAACTATTACCATCAGGCAGACGGTCCAGGATAATAAAAAAGGACAAATAGGCTGAAAAACAGCTTCTATCCCAGAGCAGTAACTCTGTTGAATTCTGCTTTATAGTGCAATATTAATGCAATGTCAGGGGTTTTCAATTCAATGTACAGAATGTGAAGGATATGTATTTTTTTTTGTTTTATATTTTTCATATATAACATACACCGAAAAACAGCATTTAATGTCATTGTATGAGGTGCAATGACAATAAAGTAAAGTAAACTAAAACGAATGTGTTGGGGTCAGAAGGACCTCCAGACACCCCCCTGGATGGTGGGAAAGCAAGGCAGATGAAGCCCCTCCTCCCATTCATACCCTGTTTCCCCGAAAATACGACCTGCCCTGAAAGTAAAGCCTATCTTGATTTTTACATGTGCACCCAATATAAGCCCTACCCCCCAAAATAAGCCCTAATTAAGATACCACCCACTCCAGAGTGGACAGGTAAAAATTAAACTAGGGTGGGGATGGAGGGGTGGAGCTGCCCTACTACTTACCTGTGGAAGGCCTTGCACACCCCGACATTTCTTCTGCAGCCGGCAAGGCCGGCAAGGCTTTCCTAAAGGCCTCTGGAGCTGATAAGAAAGCTCTGGATCGATCCAGAGCTCCGTTATCAGCTGCAGAGGCCTTGCCGGCCGCAGAAGAAGTTCCTGAAGGCCTCGGACAGCGAAAAGGAAGCTGGGGGGGGGGGGGTGACATGTGCAAGTGAGGTTAGCCAGTGGAGGACATCCTCCGAAAATAAGACCTGGTGTCTTTTTTTGGTGGCAAAAAAATATAAGACAGGGGCTTGTTTTCGGAGAAACACGGATACTTGCAAGGATGTGGAGCCACATCTAATCCCTCCACCTGGAAAGGGACGGGGGGGTGGAGAGGCAGAGCCATGCCTTGAAAGTCCTCCAGCTGCCCACAGCCCAGAGGAGTACCAAGGCCTAGAAAGTCTCCATCTCGGCCTCAAGACCTCCACATTCCCACGAAGGGAAGATGGGGCACTTCCGTTGATCTTCCACTTCTACTCACCCAAGACGTTCCCCGAAGGGCTTCCCAAGGACTCCATGCCTGCTTCTTCTGGGAGGGGCCTAGAGAGGAGACAGTGGGGGGGGGGAGGGGAGAGGAAGACCAAGGAACCAATGTTCAGACGGTCAACTCATCAAACATTCCTACGCCTCTTTTAGGAGTTGCCATAAAAAAAAGTGGGGGGAAAAGGAAATCTGGAAGAACAGGGAGGTGTTAGAAAGCGAAAGAACATTCCAACTCTTCTCTTTAAAAGATTGTAGCTAAACTACCAGAGCTTTTGCCCACAAATATATCTAATTGGAGAACGTGACTGATGTTCACCCAGCCTGCGAACGTGCTCAGTTGGAGAATCTGATTTATGACACGCCAGGGAGGAGGGACAAAATAGGGTCCCAGGGGGACTGTAAATGACGTAGGCCAGAGTTGGCTTCGTACAGGGCAGGGCCAGGACGTCGCCGCTAATGAATCCTTGGAAGTTTTTTGAAGTTTGGCTCGAGAATCATGATTTAATTTGGGCGATTGCTGGAATCCTGACAGCAACTACTCCTCTTTCCTTCCATAAACAGGAACCACATCTATAGGTTGAAGACAGCGGCTTCAAATAAATGCATGAATAAATATTGAAGAGCGTTGCAGGGGTGGGAAGCCAAGCCCCCCTCCCAGAAGAATGAAATATTTGGGGGAGGGATATTAAAAGAGGCAGAATATTATATTTCCCCAAACGAGTAAGGGGAGAAACATGCTCCAACCCCAATTTCCTGCAAAGTAGGGACAGCTTCCAGCAGAACTCTTTCAAGTTCGAGATTTTAAGAAATTAAGGAAGTAATTTATAATTCGTTAAAATTAATTGATTAAGAAATCTGGGCCAATTTATTCATAAACTAAACATCTTTGGCTTCGGGGTGATGGGATTGAGAAGGGATGGGATGTTTTAGAGCGTAATAGGATTAGCCCACCTCCCTTTAGCCAACGACACACAAAAGCCCCTTCCATCACACAATCCCCAGCACAGTTCAAAACTTCAAAGTCACAGACACCTATAAAGATCCCCCCGCTCATTCAACCGCCTGTAAGGAGTCGCGGCGGCGCAGTGGTTAGAATGCGGTACTGCAGGCTACTTCGGCTGGCTGCCGGCTGCCAGCAATTCGATCCTGACCAGATCAAGGTTGAGTTAGTTTGCAGTCCTTCTTCCAAGGTGGGTAAAATGAGGACCCAGATTGTTGGGAGGCAAAGAGAGGGCTGTAAAGCACTGTGAGGCTGTATATAAGTCTAAGAGGGAAGGGAGGGAGAGAGGGGGGTATTCATCTGGTTAGCATCCTATCAGTGTGTGAGAGAGAGTTGAGGGCTGTTTGGAAACCGAAGCAGTATTTGCTGTGTCAGCAAGAAGGAGACAGCAAGGAGCCTGGGTGTGGCTTAGCTCAACTGTCCTGTACTACAGCTGCTTGGTGCTTTGAAACTGAAACCAAAACTCCTCTCCTCTGCTTGTGTTTTGCATTTGGAAAAGATTTCTTTCCAGATGAGGAGGGAGAGTAGAACTCCTTAGCATCAGAGCGCGTTAATAATCATAATAATACAGGAAATACTCTAAATGCTCTGATGGTCATTTAGAAAAATCCTTTCTTAGGGAGCCCCTAGAAGCCCAGAGGAACATAGGTGCCAAATTTCAAGTTTGTAGGCTTTAAGGTTCTGGAGATTTTGTGATGATGTGCGAGGGGCATTTTGCCTTTATAGAGAGAGAGATTTAAAAATTAAAAGAAAACAATAGAACCATTATGGACCCTCTCGCTAACAAAAGAGACATTTGAAGCCTGTTACACTCCCGAGAACCCGGATATTTTCGCCTTACTTAAAATAAGGCTTGCATTAGAAATGTAGCCATTGCCAGAATGACCTATAATGGTTCTGCTAGCTTTTCTGTGAGAAAATCTACTTATCGAAAGCTTTTCTGTCCTCAAATGCCTTTTGTAATAAAGCAAGCCAGACATGCGCCAGTTTGGGCAGAAAGCTGGAAGTGCCCAGCCTCCTGCCCGGGGTTTGGCCACGGCCGAACCTCTGAGCCGACTGAAGGAAAATAATCAGTGGATTTACTTAAGATTATAGGGACGGAAAGCATTATGAAATCGGTTTATTTCATTCTGCTATCTTTAGGCAGTTTCACGCTCACGTCAGTGTTTACACACCTGCACCCAAGGGGTGAGGGTGTCCCACAATAAATAGACATTAAGATTGTTTTTTAAAAAATGATAATAGATATATTAAATAATAGCTATAAGAAAATGTGATTACTGTTATATTGGCAAGAAAAGCATTAATTATCATCGTAAGCACAAGATATATGTATGCAGTCGATCCACAGTTGAAATGAAATGGAAGTATTGTAAAATATATATATATATTTTAATAAAAAAATAAATAGACATTAAATTCTTCCTTCCTTTTTTAAAAGCCAGGTTTTTCAAACCCGGCCACTGGAGTGGGACTTCAACTCCGCTCCTCTTAAAAGTTCACCGAGAATAGAATCAAGATGATGAGAAGTGTGATGACCCCACTTGAAATACTGTGTCCAGTTTTGGTCGCCACGATATCAAAAAGATGTTGGGACTCTGGAAAGAGTGCAGAGAAGATCCGGTCTCCCCTGGTCCTTCTCTTCCCTCGACTAGCCGGGCCCAGTTCCTGCAACCGTTCTTCATATGTTTTAGCCTCAAACCAGTGGAACAGAAGATGCCCTCGGAAGTTGTGGGAGCTTCATCACTTGAGACTTTCAAGAAGAGACTGGACTGCCATTTGTCAGAAATGGTGTAGGGTCTCCCGCTTGGGCAGAGGGGGGTTGGACTAGATGACCTACAAGGTCCCTTCCAACTCTGATTATCTGTAATCTGTTAAGAGCAACCAAGAGGATTAGGGGACTGGAGGCTAAAACCTATGAAGAACGGTTGCAGGACCTGGGCTTGGCTAGTCTCGGGAAGAGAAGGACCGGGAGAGACAGGAGAACATCTTCCAATATTTGAGGGGCTGCCCCAGAGAGGAGAAAGGGGTCAAGCTATTTTCCAAGGCACCTGAAGGCCAGACAAGGAATAATGGATGGAAGCTGATCCAAGGAGAGATTCAACCTGGAAATAAGGAGAAACTTTCTGATAGGGAGAACAATCAACTTATAAAAAGGAATTTGAGACTCTAGAAAGAGTGCAGAGAAGAGCAACCAGGATGATGAGGGGACTGGAGGCAAAAACCTACGAAGAACGGTTGCAGGAACTGGGCCTGGCTCGTCTAGGGAAGAGAAGGACCAGGGGAGACAAGAGAGCATCTTCCAGTATTTAAGAAGGGGCTGCCCCAGAGAGGAGGAGGAGGAGGAGGAGGAGGAGGAGGAGGAGGAGGAGGAGGAGGTAGTCAGGATATTCTCCAAAGTATCTGAGGGCAGGACAAGAAGCAATGGGTAGAAACTCATCCAAGAGAGAAGCAACCTGGAACTAACACATTTTGTCTGAAATGGTAAAGTTTCCTACTTAAACAGGGGGTTGGACTAGAAGACCTCTAAGGTCCCTTCTGACTCTGCTACTCTATTCCATTCCATTCTATATTCTACTCCACTCTGCTATATATTCTATTCTATGTTCTATTCTATATTCTTCCATTCCATTCCATGAAACTACTTTCCTCCAGAAGTTGTGAATCCTCCAACCCTGGGAGTTTTTAAGAAAAGTTTGGACAATCATTTCGTCTGAAGTGGTGTAGGGTTTCCTGCCTGAACAGTGGGTTGGACTAGAAGACCTTCCAAGGTCCCTTCTGACTCCTCTATTCTATTCTATTCTATTCTTTCCTAACAGTGAGAACAATGAACCAGTGGAACAGCTTGCCACCAGAAGTTGTAGGTGATCCAACCACTGGAAGTTTTAAGAAGAGACTGGACAGCCATTTGTCTGAAATGGTATAGGGTCTCCTGTCTGAGCAGAGGGATGGACTAGAAGACCTCCAAGGTCCCTCCCAACTCTCCTATTCGATTGCATTGTTTGGGGCCACCGTCAGCTAGGGGGATTCCCTCACACACACACAAACACGCTCTGTCTTACTTATAGGCAAAAACAATCAGAAAATAAAATACAGGCTGAATAGTCGAGACCTTGTTGATGATCCAAACTCTGTCAACGATCTTGGAGTCCTCATCTCTAATGATCTAGAGCCCACTGTAACTACATGGCCAAAAAGGCGTTGTTAACCTACGTAGCTTTTTCTCTGGTAATATCACACTACTAACTAGAGCATACAAAACATTTGCTAGACCAATACTCGAATACAGCTCATCAGTCTGGAACCCACATTACGTATCTGATATTAGCACAATTGAGAAAGTCCAGAAATATTTCACAAGAAGAGTTCTCCACTCCTCTACTTGTTGCAGAAGACCTTACGCCACCAGACTTGAAATTCTAGACCTAGAAAACCTAAGACTAAGCCACCTTCGGTCCGACCTAAGTATAGTATATAAAATCATGTATTGCAACGTCCTACCTGTCAATGAATACTTCAGCTTCAACCACAACAACACAAGAGCACACAAGAGATACAAACTCAAGGTTAATCGCACCAAACTTGATTGCAGGAAATATGACTTGAGCAAGAGAGTGGTCAATGTCTGGAATACTCTACCTAACTCTATAGTTTCTTCCCCAAACCCCAAAAACTTTAACCTTAGACTGTCTACTATTGACCTCACCCCCTTTCCTAAGAGGTCTGTAGGGGGTGTGCATAAGCGCACCAATGTGCCTACCGTCCCTGTCCTATTGTTTCTTTTATTTATATATATATATATTTCTTATATGTATCCATGTATTCATAGCTATGTTTTTACTTCTACCTATTATCTTGTGAGCAATTGACAAGCCAAATAAAACGAATAAAAAATAAAATCACACACCCCAAATTCCTTTTTAAGTGGCCTCCGCGTTCTGCCACGCAACGGTGAGACTAGAGCAGCCACTTGTGCAAACATTCAAAGGTCAGAAACCACGGAGACGCTCTCCTTTGTCAAGGTTTTAGAAGAAAAAAACATTGCCTGTCTGGGATTTTCTTCCCACTTCCTGCCTCGCTCCTTCCCTCCCTTTTTACTCTCCTCCCTGGGCTCTTCCGCATCGCAGGATGCTCCCTTTCTTTTCTCCTCCCGCCATAGACGGAGCCTTGAATGAGTCACCTCCGGCTGCCTCACTGAGCATGCTCCGTGCATCCCAGCTGCGAGCATCCCAAGGATGACGTCAGGAGCCGACAAAGCAACTCCTTCCTGCTCCCTTCCGCACAGACCGAGAGCCTCGGCGTTGCAGGTGAGAGATTTTGACACAGTCGGAAGGGAACCTTGGAGGCCATCTAGTCCAGTCCCGCCCAAGCAGGAGACCCTACACCATTTAACCTTTTAACACAGTTGGAAGGGACCTTGGAGGTCATCTAGTACAGCCCCCTCCCCCGCCCAAGCAGGAGACCCTACACCATTTAACAGATTAGCAGAGTGGGAAGGGACCTGGGAGTTCATCTAGTCCAACCCCCCACCCCGCCGCCCAAGCAGGAGAATCTACCCCATTTAACAGATTAACAGAGTTGGAAGGGACCCTGTAGGTCATCTAGTCCAACTCCCTCCCCTGCCCAAGCAGGAGTGGAAAGGGACCTTATAGGTCATCTAGTCCCACCTCACCCACCAAAGCAGGAGACCCTACACCATTTAACTGATTAACCAAGTCAGAAAGGACCTTGGAGGTCATCTAGTCCAACCCCCCACCACCCAAGTAGGAGACCCTACTACACCATTTCTGACAGGTGGCAGTCCAGCCTCTTCTTGAAAGCCTCCAGGGATGAAGCTCCGACAACTTCTTTCTTTCTTTCTTTCTTTCTTTCTTTCTTTCTTCCTTCCTTCCTTCCTTCCTTCCTTCCTTCCTTCCTCCCTCCCTCCCTCCCTCCCTCCCTCCCTCCCTCCCTCTCTCTTTCTTTCTTTCTCTTTCTTTCTACATATCTACCTACCTACCAACCTATCTATTATCAGATTAACAGAGTTGGGAGGGACCTTGTAGGTCATCTAGTCCAACCCCCCACCCGAGCAGGAGACCCTGCACCATTTCTGACAGGTGGCAGCCCAGCCTCTTCTTGAAGGCCTCCAGGGATGAAACTCCCACAACTTCTTTTTCTTTCTTTCTTTCTTTCTTTCTTTCTTTCTTTCTTTCTTTCTTTCTCTTTCTTTCTTTCTTTCTTTCTTTCTTTCTTTCTTTCTTTCTTTCTTCCTTCCTTCCTTCCTTCCTTTCTTAACATACAACAGAAACAGATAATCAGAGTTGGAAGGGACCTTATAGGTCATCTAGTCCAACCCCCCGCCCAAGCGGGAGACCCTACACCATTTCTGACAAATGGCATCCAATCTCTTGTTGAAAGTCTTCCTTCCTTCCTTCCTTCCTTCCTTCCTTCCTTCCTTCCTTCCTTCCTTCCTTCCTTCCTTCCTACCTACCTACCTACCTATCAGGTTAACAGAGTTGGAAGGGACCTTGTAGGTCATCTGGTCCAACCCCACCCCCACCCAAATGGGAGAACCTACTACACCATTTCTGACCGATGGCAGTCCAGTCTCTTCTTGGAAGCCTCCAGGGATGAAGCTCCCACAATCTGTACTTGTCCCTTTGACTTTTTTTTCCTGCCTAAAATGTAAAACTTTGCTTTTCTCTGCGTTAAAACCCACGCCGTTGGACAGGGCGCCAGCGTTTCAAATCTGCCAAGATCTTTCCGGACCCTGAGCTCGTCTTTTGGGGGTGCGGGGAAGCGTTGGCTATTCCTGCCAGCTTCGTGTCCTCTGCAGATATGATGAGTTCCCCTTCTATTCTCTCTCCTCGGAGCCTTTTTTATGAGTGGATCCAGTCATCCGACCGACACTCTCTGCAGCTGTGGCTTCCAGAGACAGTGTTCAGACCCAGAGAGAGAGAGAAAAAACTCACACGTGTTGCTTCAACCGTCTATATCTGCTCCGGCAGCTGCCTTGGAGAGAGGATCCACTGTCCAGAGAACAGAAGCTCCTTGTGGATATTTCTCAGAATCCTGCCAACGCTTTTAAAAAACGTCCTTTTTGATACAGTCCAACAGCCAACCAGACCGACAATCGGGGGAGTCTGTTTCATTGTATTCCTTAATTATCATTTATTATCCCTTTCTTTCTTTCTTTTGAAAAAGTTTTCTTTTTAATTTTAACAACAAAAACAAACAAATAAAACCATATTTCAGTTCAACAGTGTGTCAATTGGATACATATATTCTGTGCACCTAATAATATTATCATACATTTCTTACTTGTTTATATATATATATATATATATATATATATATATATATATA